TAAATCTATGAAATAAAGAAATTATTATAAAACTCAACTAGTTCCATGTTTTTTTTTTCTTTAATTTAATTTAAAAAGGAATTAAAAAAAAAAGAAAAAAATGAAATAAATCTTCTTTTTATATTTAGCATAGATTTAGTATAAAGTTCTATATTTTTAGTATTACGATTGCAACTTTAAACTAAGAACTTAATTTGCACGTAACATAGATTAAGAATTACCTCTAGTAATTATTATCCTTAATCTATGTCTATAGTATATAACGTAGAAGTTAAAGGTGGTATGAAACTATCACAGAATTCAGGATTATAATGATTTTTTGCAATTGTTTACAAAATCTATTTGAAGAGAAAGATTGTTTACAAAATATTTTATTTTATTATTTTTGTTATTTACACTTATGATTCCATATTTCAGGTACTAACTGTTGTATATTTTTATCCTACTCTTTCTTTTTAAATTGCTCTTATTATTAAACTTTTAATTATTTGCTTATTCACTTAACACACATGGTTTAGTTAAATCGTATATTTAAGGAGTTATATAACTAAATATTATTATTCCAAGCAGATACCTGAAAACGAAAACCTAGAAGTGGCCTAGTAAAATTTTTTATTAAAAATAACGATGTTTACTTCGGTAAAATGGACGTTACAGTTGAAAAAGTCGTAATAATTAATTGAAAATTTTTAAAAAATATAGCACAATAGATGCTTACAAAAAAGTATGAAGTACAGTCAGTTCTATCCAGATCTTCCCCCTATTTTTATTCATTAAAAAAATCCAGTCTTTATACATAAACGATTACCTAAACCAATTATAAAACGGGTACGTTTATTAATGTTATGAACTTGCGTTTAGGAAATGATAAAGTAACAACTGAATTGTAACACATTTCGTTTTCATCGCTTTATCTATTACGTAGTGTTATACAAGATTTGAGGTATTCCCTCGTTATTTGTTCTATGTGGTTATACAAAGTTGGATTTCAGTTAAAAAAACGAATAGTCATACTTTTCTCTTTAGCTGATTTCAAATTATTATTTTATTAAACTATTTTTGACATTATTTTTTTTTGGTTTTCTTTTTATACATTCTTCATACCAGATCTGTGAAATTTTTTTTTAATTAAAATTAAAAAAAAATGTCACACCCTGGCGGGGCAGCAATGAGGAATGATAGGTGACGATGGAAGCAGGTCCGTTAGCCCATCGTAACGAATTCCAATAGAATTAACCATGATAGTAGTCAGGGGAAACTGTGTGGAGGTCGACCTGATAGGGTATAATGCTAATAATGGAGAAATTAGATCAAATTACTAATGTTGTTTAACTACACGTCATTGATATACGACAAATCTGAACATATACAGTCCCCAATTAAAAGTATATATATTCAACTTTAAACATATATATATATATATATTCAATTTTCGTATAAAATATATATGCTATCTAGAAACCAGGAGTTTATTATTTCCAGTATATAATACTTTGTTATATTTCTACGATTTTTTAAAATATTTGAGTTCATTTAATAGCAGCTGGTTCTAAACCAGTGCAGGCCGATGAATAGATTTAGTGCGGTTTAATTTTAGTACCAGTTTTTTTAATCTCTAATTCTACATCTGTTTTTAATTTAGTACTTATTTATACTTTTTTTTTCTGTTGTAAAATTATTCTATGCTTTAACAGCAATAGAATCGGGTAATCAACAATTGTGACATATTACATATTATCTCCCGAAATAACGTTACCCAACATCGTTGAATAAGCCATCATGATTGACAAGTGTAACAATTGTAAACTAAACCATAACAGTAGCATTGTTATTCGTATAATGAGATCTTTTGAGTTACTATACCTTTTTTGTACTGACGGGAGTAGTAAATAGATTCTTTGCATTATAAAGAATAACAGAAAACGAAGGAACCAGAGGAATACTTTGTACAAAAGTCGTTTGCTTTTGTACAAAGTCCTTTGTCCTATTCGTGTTTCAACCGTAACGCAGTTGTGTTTGTATGGCTATGTTTCAGTTTGAAAGGTGGGATATGGCAGTGAATTTACATAGTACAGAGAAACAACACCTTAGTCCTCAGGAATGGAAACCCATGGGGGGTATCATGGGTGAAACAGTATATTTTGTTATGTTCATGGGACTACTCATGTCAATAGGCCACGATTACTACTTTCCATCAGGTGGGCCGTCAGCTTGTTTGCTATTCTAAGTTGCATAAAAAAAAGAGCCAGACACAAATCTGTCATCAATTTTATATGGTCAATGCATAAGCCTAAAAACCCATTGGTCTATCCACTCTTATTGGTCTCTTAGAAAAAAAATAGCTGTCGACAATAATTATGAATATGACCAGTGAGCTTGTTGTATCTAAAGCTATTATATAGTTTATCTCATCTCTTGTGCTATATCCATGTTGGAAATTAAGTTATATATATCAAAAGTAACAGTATTTAAACATCGTCGCTTAAAAAATAAAAAAATAAATTAAGATACTAATAAAGACGGCTTTAAACTTTTCCTTTTGGAAGTAGCTTAATAAAATTGTATCACAGAATCAATAAATTTAATAAATGTCACATACACTAATTAGTATTTAGTTTTAAAAGCAAATTACCATGTGTTATAAAAAGCAATAACATACCTATACAATTTTCCTATTTATTCTTCCAGTCGTTAACTGTCTATTACTGAACATAAGCCTCCCCATAAGGGGAGTTTTGTCAGTAGTTGGCACGCTTGGCAGACGGATTGGCAGCCGCAGTTAGGCTTTCAGAGATGTTGTAAGAGGGTCGCTGCTGCTAATCCCTCGCCCTCCTTAATCGATTCTACGACACTCACGGGAAAGGAGGGGGTGGCCCATTCTATGCCGGGGCACACACAGCGATACTAAAACAATACCTATAATATATCACTATACTCAATATTTTTTAGAACTATACAAATTTATTAAAAAAGTATAATATATTACTGATGATCATATTTTATATCAAAGTATTTATTCAGTTAGGAATCCGATTTACTTCGTCGTACTATTTGTTTATAAATTATTTTAAAAACATGTGATAGATACGTTTATAATAATATTTACATAAATTATAATTAAAGGTCGACGAATACTAAAATATTTTTAAAACTGTTCTGTTTAAGAAAGAAAATAACCAATTAATATAACTAATAATCAGGTTATTTGTTATATTTTGCTATTTTAACGTATAAATTACCTAAATATCTATGAATAAAGACATACGTGTTTTATGATGAACGGTTATTCATTATATCTCAATTATCAGAATAAAGTCACTGATATAATTTGCATCCATATAAGTGTAAGAATCCTTTATATATTTCACTTAATAAATATTTTACGCCATTTTATGACTGTAATCTAGCGTATTGTATAATTATAAACTTAAGCTTAAACTTAGCTTTAAGATATACACATACTATATAACTACTATAATGCTATGATACTACATAGATACTATAACTATATAAGATGTATGCACATATACATACTAATGGATATACAAAATTTTAAAGTAAAATAACATAGTTACTTTTACATGAATAATATTAGTAATAATTATATATATAAGCGATTTTATTTCACTGTGAATTAAAGTTTAAATAAATAAATATATAATATTATAAGTATAATCTGTGATTTTATTAATATCAATGACAGCTGATCCTAATGTAGAGATTTATATAAAAAAGGTACAAAGTTGTTAGTTTATTAATATAATACCTGAGTGTTACTGACTTTGTTACAATTAAGATGTAAAAAAGTGAGTTATCCATAGTACGTAATGTGTGTTTGTGCAATGTCTTCTTATATTTGTGATATATTTTTTGTAAATTTAGGATATTTTTAGTCAAAATTTTATCAAGATTACTTGATTTCCCGATTTATTATCTACTTAAGCTAATAGATGCATATTTGTGCGCGTGTGTGTGTGCGTAGGTGTGTGGGAAGAAGAACGGAAGGGAATTATTAATAATAGAGAATATAATAGTAATAATAGCAATAAGGATGTTACAAACATCGTATTAGTCACGCTGGACCAATTGACCTTACTTCATCTTCATCACTTCATCTTCCTATGACGTTCAATGGCAGGGGGCTGCTTAACATCATTAATATTGGTGGAAATACAATTCTATCTACATAAATAGGCATAAATATAGATTTGTAACGAAAATCAAGTTTTTTATAGTATATATAAGTTAAATAGGATATGGTAAATATTCACTGATATTAGAAATTAATGCCTTACTTTAAATTAAAGTATTAATCTAAATGTGACTCTTAAATTATTTTCATCTGCACTGAATTTAGTTCTGGAAATAATTCATCAAAAAAATGGCGATTTTCGTAATATTCTATCGATATTATATTATAGTTCGTACCGTTTATCACGTAAACAGTAATTTTATTTATTAAATTATTTGTTAATAAGATAATGTTACATTTACAGCCTTTGATACAGTATGTAAAACACGCGTCATTTAATAGTTGGCTCACAGATTTTTTACGTTTTTTGACAGCTGGTATGACAGAATAAGAATAATATCTAGTTATTAGATCTAAGACATGGCCATATTTAGTATCTTAATAGCAAAATAAGGCTCATAAAAAGGCATTTAATTTCATATTTACATATATTATTTAATTAAGAAGAAGTCGTTCAACTGGTAACAGCATTGGTTTCGGCATTACGTAGTCCGGTAGAAGGTCCGGATTCATATCTCATCTGCCTTAAAAATTTTCACGCAATATTAATTAATAGTTCTTATATACTATAATAATGAAAAGTTAGTAAATTGCTAAGTATTTAATCATAATATTTTAACAAAATAAATGTGAATATGGGGTATAGCAAACCTAATTTTAGGGTATTGGATGCTGTCGTCCTAACAGTGCATCGCGCTGCACCCACCACCCTAAACCCATCTTAGTATAAATTCACCGTGAAGTTTCACCTACCACATTCGACGCAATACTGTTGATACGGTTGCATTTGTATTCTCGAACAACCCAGCACCGTTTGTGTAGTGATTACATAGAAGCAGTGTTTGTTTTTATAAAAATCAAGGAAATGGCGTTCAAGGTAAGATTATTAAGTGTATAAGCAACTTAAAGAAAATGACTTAATCAATTAACACGGATATATAATTCTGACATAAATTGGACTAATTTATAAAGTAATTTAAATTAGAAAACATTTATAAATCAATTTATGGTTATAGTTAAGCAATCTGAGAAAAAATAAAATAAATACAATTATTCAATTAAGATAGAGATGCAAATACAAAATAATAAATTGATATGATAGTAATTGACATACATAAAAGTCAAATTTATTACTATTATAAAATAGCATTTTCAATTATATAAAACTTAACGCAACCAACATAGGACTAAGCCTTATGGACTACAAAAATTAATAATTTTAATTGTTTCGGTACCGGCCATAATGTCGCTTAACGTTCACACAAAAAAGTTTCTTTTATAAATTTTGTCGCCTTTTTAGTTTTTTTTTTTTTTTTTTGCAAAACAATAGTATTATGACATGATAGATTAGCTGTTTCAATTTATAATAACAGACAGTATGAAAAACAAGAGTTACATCAGTGGATGTAAAAACTTATGGGTGAAGAACATATGGGATTGGAGCGGAATTGTTTCTGTTGACTATTTCGACTGGCAAATAAAAAATTTAGAAGAATAATTTGTGAAACTGACGATTAACTAGTAATAAGAAGGCAATTAAAGGATAAGAGATAAGTATACGGCTCGTTTAATGGTACAGTTACCTGCGGTCGCCTATTGCTAATACTAGGTGTGGAAAGTGTTCCTGACCCTCAAGAATAAAGGACTGCGTATTTTAGTTTCCATCGTGCAAAACTGTGGCTTTTTTGCTTATGCCACTATCTGAATTAAATTTATTTAGAACATAATATATTTTTCTGCTTTGAAGTTTAGTTGATAAAATATATACCAGTCGGCAATTGTTGACTGTCCACTATTGAACATAGGCATCATAAGGGACGTTTGACTAATAGTGGCCACAGAGGTTTTGGTATCACTATTAGCAATAGAACTGTATCATTTACTGTAATATTGTATTGTTTTTAACGATTTTTCAATGGAATATGTTGTCTCTTCAAAAGGCGAAGGAAAAGTACACAATTTATTTTTACTCTGAACTTAAAAAAGAAAAATACGATTTGACATGTCGTAAAAATGACTTGGATTCATTTGAATAAGTGAAATAAATAATTATTAACGAATCACATATACAAATATTAATACATTATTACTTATGATGCCATTTTTTTGATGTTTAGAACTGTTTACCAAAAATATCAAAAGAACAGTTTATATTTTAAAAAATATAAAGATGTAAAGTAAGCAAATATGTTTAGAGTTCTATAATGACAAAAAATATTTTATATACACTAACGGGACTTAATCCTGTCGTGACCAGGACAATCTACGTGAAAACGCCGGTAATAAAGATAAAGGTATGTATCTACTATTTACTTGCAAAAAAGTTTTCATCGCCTTCAGTCCCGATAGTGTATTTAAAATATGTGTAAAACAACGAGAAAGTATACAATAAAAAATCTATCGTGATCAGATTAAAAATTAATATTTTATACTCATTTGTTCAAATTACGAGATAAATACTCATCAATTCTATACAAATCACTTGGGAATCATAACTAGTAACAATTGTTATTATGGAATTAAAACACATTGGAATTGTTGATTTGAACAATGTTACAATTAGACAATGAGATCGAACCGTCAGCGGTTGAACAAAGCGGTGTTTTTACATAGTCACAGTAACTTTCATTAAGCTAGTTATAATAGTTACGTGAAATGTTTTTTTGTTGACTATTATTTGAACTCACTTTTGTTTTCACTTGAACTGCAGTTGAACATTCACATGTGATGTTTTGGACTGATATTATTGATAAGAACAACATTATATGTAAGTTATTCTCTAAACTTTAATTGAAATAATTGAATTAAGTAGAAACTACTATAAGATCGTGTTCCACAAAAAACCTGACTTCAATTGTTTTAAAATCAGTTATTTTGATTACAAAACTAAACTACTGATAAAATTTCTACGGGACTAATTTGTAGGTATATTTTTTTGGATAAAAAGAGTTTTCCAAATCGATTTGTAACTTACGAAGTTATAAGGTAACAAACATAAAAATACATCCAACAACCTCCTTCTTTTTGGAGTCGTTTGAAAATAGATCGATAAACTGATCGTTCTATCTGAGGCTTCTCCTTTAAGTATCACCAGAACCGAGTAAATATATTACGAATTATAATGGTGGACGAAGCAAGGAATAAGAAAGGACCAATAATTTTAACAAATATTCAAATCCTATAAAGCGTCAAATTTTGAGAATAAAGCTTAGACATAGGATTTTTTTAAAACTATTTACACTAATAAAACACGAAATAGGAAATGTAATACTACATAGTAGAATAAATATAATATAGTAAGCTTCTTTAATAATTTAATATAGTAAGCAGTTTCTTACAACACAGTTATTACAAAGATAATCTATTATGGTATATTCATTATCAGAATAATGAAATTATGACGTGACTGACACGGTTAAGTGGTGCGATAATATCACTTTCCATTTTATCATAATTAATTACTAAATAAATTAAATTAAACAGTAATGACTAATAATTATATATTTATCAACAAATTTATTTAGATGCATCAGTAACTTCTATTATATAGGTAGTTCCTCATATACAAACAAAGTACATCTTGTTTGAAATTAAATGATGCATTCTAAACATAATATGCGTATATTCAGTTTTATAAATATTATATAGGTAGTTGAAACCTGGAGCCTTAAAATAATGATAAGGAATTGTAGATTATTCAATTAATTTGTAATGAAATTAGACTTAGATTGTATTGTACCAAAAAAAAAAGATAAGACAGACAAAAGAAATACAATAGATATGTATATATCATAACAAACACACACACACACAAACCGAAAGAGTATACTCTGTTATGTCCATGGTACTGCTCATGTCTATAGGCGACGGTTACCACTTTCCATCAGGTGGGCCGTCAGCTTGTTGCCATTCTAAGTTGTATAAAAAAAAATGTTAATAAAATTTGTTATAGGTGAATTTCAATATTGGCAGAGAAGAAACTCACAAACGATGATTTGTCGATAATTTTCTCGATGTTTTATTTGAAGAAAGACAATGATTTTAAATGTCTTTAGAAGACTCTTGCGTTTACGTTGTGATAATAGTCTATAGTAAAAATTGTTGTTTTTTTCAGACGGTAATACTTGCGTTAATGTTGGTGGCGTGTGCGCACGGTAGACTGTATGCGTTCCTGAGACCCGCCAAAACGGCAGACTCGCAGCCGGCTCCAGCCGCCGCTATCGTGCGTTCACAGCCGAGACTGGGATATGAACACCACCACATACCTGATGACCAACATATTGATTATTATGTTAGTATTCAAATTCATATTTAATTACATGCAAAATGTTCAGCTTCTCTTAGACAAATGACGATCGAACGAGCGATATATATTTTTCGTTAGTGCATGTATGAGAAAAAAAGAAAAAATAGTCGCTGGATGTTGCTATCTTGTTATATTTATTGATAGATTCATTTGTTACTTCTCTAGGAGACAGATCGGTTCTAATTTCTAAAGGTTGCATTACACCATTATCGTAACAAACTTATAAGGCTTTGTAAGTTTAGTAGGTTGTAACAATTTATCATCATATAGGCTCAATGTTTAATTGTAAATCTTGTAGTATAATTAGATATATTTGCACGTTATATATTAGATTTTTCGATTAGATTTCCTTTAGAAATCAAATATACAATTAAACATTATAATTTTATTTTTATGTCATCATCATCATTTTAGCCGTTAACTATCCAATGCTGAAATAAGCCATGGGAAACCATAAGGGGAGTTTTGCCAGTAGTTGCTACGCTTGGCAGGCAGATTAGGAACCGCAGTTAGGCTTTTAGCAAAGGTTTAAGAAGGAAACTGCTGTTCATCTCTCTACCATTAAATTCCCGTAGTCGCCACTTACGACACTCATAGGAAAGGTGGTTTATTCTGGGACCATACGGCCATTTTTTTATACATAATTTTGTGACTTAAATAAAGTCTATATTACCAGATAGATGATATGCCGCTTCAATGATACAAGTGATATTCAACTTATGTGTACTATGTTCCATTCCACAGAGCATTGGTAACTATTACTTGTACGTTGCACTTTCATTCCCACTTTCCTCTTCAGTCTCGACTATTTCACCTAGAACAGTATCTACATATTATATTGTTTTTACATAATTGCGTCAAACCATATTATTAGAGCGTGGTTCATTCACATTTAGAAGTGTTAAATACATTAAAATTAAATATAATCAAAGGTTCCGTACTTATAGCAAACCACAATATGCAAGCTTTCTATAGGTGAAAGAAATTTTAAAATTATTTGAGTAGTTTCTGATTTTATCCATTATAAACAAACAAATAAATCTTTACACTTCATAATATTAGTATAGATATATACATATCTTACATACGTATGTTTCGATTTAAAAGTTTTAAAATTTGTGTTTTGTAAAATTTAGGTCTTTTATTTTTTAATTGCAGTTTTCAGGTTCATAATTTTACAGTAACTTTTGACTTCTTGACTAAATATTACTCGTAAGTATCTCTATATTAAAGCATATAGTTAAGTAACTATTAATATCAGAACCATAAATTTCATGTGATTCTCTGGCTAAAGTGACAAGACAATTTTATTGTTTGATTTTGTTCACTATGAACAAAGTTACTTAAGTATTATTTAAATTACATTTTAATTCAAAGCTTTTGATAACAATTGCAATAAAATCATTATAAGAGTAAATAAATCTCAGCATTTAATTAAATTAGCTGATTTCATTTAATCGTACTTTATTCAAATTAACGACATTTAAGAGGTTATATAACAAAACTATTATAATGTAACATTGTTTTAAAAGTACCAATTAAAAAGTTAATTTTCTAATTATTTTGTAGATGTGAAGTGACAATTTGCAGAAACTACTTCCTGTGCAAGATTCCGCTTGTTGACATATTCAATGAGCGGCTTGTGATACTTTTATGTATGGCACAAAACATAATCGGGAGCGATTAAACATAAAACATAGCAATGACTTAAATATTATGATATATCTTGTATTAGATATTGCAATACATTTATTATTATAGAAATTTAAATATACACAGAATAAAAACAAACAGATTCTTACAACAATTAGGTAATATTGTTGTGTTTTTATATGTAACGTATAATAAATACAAAACATGTAGACTTACACATAAATTAGCATATTTATTAAAACTTTACAATACAATAAATTTGAGTAATGATAATATAATATATTATTGGAGTTATTAAATTATTTCACTAGAAAAAAATTACAAATCGTAATAATGATTACTCTCTGTAATATGAATTTTTTTTAAACCGTTTCTTCTCATATAGATGCCATGTGCCATAGCATAACGCTAGAGTATGGGTTAGAAACCTCGAATTATTACTAAAACCACTCCGCGGTAAAGAAATCTTATCTGTATTTATTAAAAAAAAAAATACTAATTACATTTTGAATTTTACTATTTCTGACCTTGTTATTTTTGTTCGTTTTATAATTTTTTATTTTATTGTAATTATATTGACTCTTTTATTAAGGTACAACAAAAAGTTATGGTTCTAGAATGTATACATTTAATACATTTAATTTCTATATGTAATAAAAGATAAGCTTTTTTGGATATAAAAGAACAAGAAGCAACTGGTACTATGCAAACAAAGCAGCAAAATTTCCTTCCTGTAAAACTAAAAAAAAAAATCGCTCTTCGTTCGTAACATACACAGTATTTTTCGTAACAAAAACTATTACGCAAGCGTAGTGCATGTTGTGAAGATAAATAGTTTCACTATACGCAACAGTGGAATTATGAGGATGTAACTTTAGTTTTTATGTGTACACATTACGTTTCAAATTGGCAAAGCAAATTGGATTGTTATGATGTGAACTTTAATATTTGATTACCTGTTGTTATGTCGTACACATTGTTATCGTTCATTCATTGAAAACCAAAAACTAAGTTGCATTCTCAATTTTTATTACGATATAGAGCGGAACAAAAAAGTTATTATATTATGCTATAAAAATGTGAATTTGACAATAATCGAATTGCCTTGTATTTAATTTAGTAGCAATTATTGGAATTACTTAACGATTTAATGTGTAGTTAATTTCATGTTAGTTATTCATGATAAATTATGTCTCTACAATTATCAATAGGTATTTGGACTTAAAATTAAAGAAATCAATTAAAATTATATTGTCTTTTTATAGGTATTTTAGGTAATTTTATTTTATATTATTTCAATTTAATATTATTATTATTTGTAGGCTAGTATTAAAGTTTTTAAATATTAATATTTGCTGACAGGTAGACAATACATGATAATACTAAAAGCACGAAATTTTACACAGAATTTTTTTATATACTAAAACTGTAACTATGTTATATATGTTAGTATTTTCCAAAAATGCAATTCACAGAAATGGGTGATATCGCCTGCATGCCACTTACGTATTTAATATATAATTTTTTTTACATACAATATATAATAAATAAAAATATGTAAGTTATTATGCAGGCGATTATTTATTTTATTGATATATCATATTTTTTATTTTAAGATATTCATTAACAATGTTACGTTCTAGGCGTATCCCAAGTACGTATTCAAGTATGGCGTGAACGACTTCCACACGGGAGACATTAAAACCCATCACGAGAGCCGAGACGGTGATGTCGTAAAAGGTAATTCAATATTAGTCTCACTATATTTCCTCTACGCATTTCCTCCTTTCGTATTCAAGACAACCTTTGTTTACAAAGCATGCTTTTGTCTCTAGACAACGTGGGGAATTAGATTTTTGATTTACTGTCGAATATTTATTACTCTCTTGCTGTAATCACAATAGTTATATAGTATAGATAAACGTAGATACCTAAATAGTGGAAAAATAATATTACTAGCTATAAAATAATAATTTTATGTGAATTCAGAAAATAGTATATTGGTTGTAAAATAATCTCTTCATGATTAGGCCATAAGTAAATTTAATGATTTCTAAGTTTACTTGTCTACGAAAGTAGACAAGTAAACTTAGAAATCATTAAATATTGTATCTAAAAAAATTTACTTCAATCGTAGCATATTAAAATATTTTGATTTAAAAACTTAACTAATAAATTATTAAACCGATTTGTATAAAACTTCTATAAAATCAATTTGAAAGTTTATCCTTTCAAATAGAAAAGAATTTTCCAAATTGGGTTATAAATGACGGAATTGTGAGGTAACAAACAAAAAAAAAAAATACCACCGAATTAAGAACCTACTTCTTTTTTGAAGTCGATTGAAAAAGAAGGAATTTTGTCTTCCGTTGATTATTAATTAGCATCTCTATCTTTGTCTAATATCTCAGTCTAAATACGAGTACATATTAATTTGTAGATGCCAATTTCGATTGGTTTATTTAGGCTACATTATTTGAGGTTTATCTCATCTTTATTGGTCTTACCTTTTTGATCTATCGGCTGGCTGATTTGTTGATACATTCTTTGGTGTCTAATTATGTTTTACTAAATTTTATTTCTTGCTAAAATATAGCAACTAAGGTAATTTTTTAAATTACAGAGTGCTAACATGAGACAGTAGTTGCAGTTAAAATAATTTATTGTTTCTGGCTTTCAATACTACAAAATTAACTAAATAATTATATGATCTAGATTCTATAAAAGTTCTGATTCAAATAGCGGCTCTATTTGATATCTAGACGTCCAGTGAGTAATTGACCTCTTTCACTAAATTATGCAATTTTTAGTTTTATAGTTGTATAACAAGTATTAATTGACCTAGATTGTCAAAGGATCGAATACCGATGAGGCAAAATTGTTTATCTACTTTAGTCGAATAGAAAAATAAAAAACTTTTTCATTAAATAATATGACACTTCAATTAACTTTATTTACAATTCCATTTTAATAATTATGTTCTATGATTTGATATAAATTTTTATATTACTTTAAATAATTTTATATTTACTGTCAAATATTTAGTGGCATTTATTCATATATTTATATGCAATTTCAGGTCAGTACACAGTTGTGGAGCCTGATGGTTCTATTCGTACTGTGGACTACACCGCCGACAAGCACAATGGTTTTAATGCTGTCGTCCATAAGACCGCCCCAATTTCGCCCCACGAGGCCGCCCTCTTAAACCATTAAAACACACAGGAACCTAGCACCAGTTCACCAATGACTGAGTATTAGAAGAGTTATAAAGACGATTTGTCTTTATTTACATACTTAATGCTCGCAACATGATAATTGTACTATGAGATGGCGATTCTATTAAATCGACCATCCTTTATGGGGTTTTAAATTAAAAATTTGGCCATTCTTTCGTTATCTAGTTATAGTCTATTTAATATTAGATTAGTAAACGTTGTTATGAGCCCGTTGAACAAGAGTTGATCGTTCACGGTTCTCGTTGTTTATTATTTCTGTTATTCTTATATTTATTTATGTTAAAAGTTGTACCTGATTATAACTGTATTGTTTGTTGATAATTTACTTAACAATAATGTTGTTGTAATATTTTGCACTTAATGTTTTTTTATTTAAATCTAAGCATTGTCAATAAAATTGACTGATATAAAAAGTAATTTTATTTCATACCTATTTTATCTTAATTCGAATGTCTCCAATATTTTGTAAAAAATTCGTGTTTTATATTATTAAAAAAACTGCAATAAATTAAGATTAAACAAAAAATTACTTTTAAATTAAATATATAATCTATTATTATATTAGTAACTATTTAACTCAAATTGTTTATTTTCTTGTAATTTGAAATTGAATTCTCAAATCTATTAAGAAGATATAAAAAAAATATTAATTTTAAATTCGCCATCTATAATGAATTTATTTTATTAGTAAACACAAGACTTGCTAAATTACTAAAATAAAGCATATGGTTTATTGGTTTCTTTGTGTGGCATCAGATGGCGTATCTATTAGAAAGAAGGGTTTGTTTCATAAAATAAACCAACTTGACTCGTGTGATATTAGTATAGATACAAAAGGTAATCATCATAATCAGTATAGAAAGATGTCACATATCGCGTAATATAGAAATATGTTATATACAAAAAATATAATTAAAATGGGAAATTTTATATTTTGATTTTGCTTGAAAATGAAAATTATTGTTAATGTAATAACAACGACAAAATTGTTTGCAAATTACATAACGCCATCTAGTCCGAAACTAAGCAGAACTTGCGATATGCGGACTAGACAACTGATGGACATTTAATGCAATTTTATTTTGCGTACACTAAGTAAAGTCATAGTTAATAATAACGTGTATATTAATATGAATAGAATACACTTAGATCAATAAAAATTTGAGGGCCTAATTAATTCCCAACTAGACTTCAATATATTTTTATATTGAAGTCTAGTTGGGAAGGGCAAAAGTACTTTATTGTTAATTCCATGTGCAATGTGCAATTAAACGTTATAGTACATTATATTCAAAGGTCATTAAGACACTTCAAGATTAAATCAGCGGTATTCTTAAACGGCGTTTTGTTTGAATCGAAATGTATTGTACAAAACAAGTTTTTGTAGATTTAAATCTGCATACAATGCTCCTTCCTACACTGATACCGTAAAGGATGTAATTAAGTTTTACTGTAAATGTCCAAAATTGGTTCACATACTTTATTGTTTCATTTCATGATTATTATCAATCAAATGTTGCTGCACTAAATAATTTAAAATGTTTGATTATATACATACTCGTACATACTATTACATCTAAACACAACAGTTTGTAGAACAATTTTTTTAGACATTTAACTTTAAGAGTTGGATGTAACCAATTCGCTTTTATTTTTTGTGCGGTATACATATAACACGATACTGAAACTAATTTTATTAGTTATTTTGAAATAAATAGGATTACTCTTATGTTGTAATTAATTTTTGTCAAGTTTCTAGATTTTCTTTACATTATACAGTCGTATTTTGATGGTAAACGGTCACTGTAGTCTATTGAGTCTATGATACTAGAGATGTCTCACAATCGCGCGCGTGTCGATCCTGAAAAAATCTCAAGACGGTTAATCTTACGACAATTTCGGTAGAATACACAAACATGCAGTTTTTCTATGCAAAGCAAAATCTTTTTTTTTTAATATGATATGCCTGACATGTTATTTGTGCATTTTGTTTTAAAATAAGAACAGTGAGTATTTTAAAATAAGAATAATGACAATCAGTCATAAATTTATCATGATCAAATTCGCCGAATTTTTTGTGTATCGAAATCTTTTTATTTTATTTCTTTTTGCTACTTAGAATGGCAAATAAGCTGACGGCTCACCTGATGGAAAGTGGTAACCGTCGCCTATAGACATAAGTAGTACAATGGACATAACAGAGTATACTGTTTCGCCCATGATACCCCCATGCGTTGCTATTCCTGAAGACTCAGATGCTATTCGTCTGTACTCTCACTCTCTGTCCTCTGTAAATTCATTGCCATATCCCACCCTTCAAACCGAAACACAGCCATGCAAACACAATTGCTTCACGGTAGAAACACGAATGGGACAGAGGTGCCCAAGCAAACGACTTTTGTACAAAGTCTACTACCTTTGGTAGATCTAGAAACTTCTGGTATTATTACGCATTATTACAATTTTACGCAAATTATCCGTACAAATATCCCTAATTTTGTTACGTATCTAATTGTCTAAATTTCCGAATAATCATCCGTATCGTCAGTGGAAGTAAGTATTTGGTAAGCGGACCTGACTATTGTTCTTATGTCTCAGGATGCAGACACTCTCATACAATGTACAGTATTTGACGGAACTGATGCTGTTTGATTACAATGATCGCTGTTAGTTACGCTTGGCTTGTGTCTGTTTGTATTTTCAGGATTTCAAGTCAATGTTTACAATGTGAAAGGAAAAAGTACTAATTTTGTGAAGGATTTATCCACATCGTTATAAGACAACGAATATATGTATGTTCACAATGCGAATAAGTCCTTTATAGTAGGTACCTATATATATATATATATATATATATATATATATATATATATATATATATATATATATATATATATATATATATATATATACATATTCTACATACATAAATGCGAAAATTTGTAAGGATGGATGGATGCATGGATGCAAATTTACGCAAAAAACTATTTAACGGAATTGAGTGATATTTAATATACGGATAGGTCCTAACTTAGTACATAGGATATTTTATGTACTAATTCACGCGGGCAAAGCTGTAGGACACAGCTAGTATATGTGTAATAAACAAAACTTTAAGGGCCAAAGAGAATAGATGCTGTTTAATTACAATAATCACTATTAGTTACGCTTGTTCTTGTTGGTACTGTTATGACTTTGAGTCAATGTTTACTTGTGAAAGGACAAAGCACTTAAACATTACGAATTGCAACTATCCACAGTATACATACTGGTTAGATACTTAAAAAAATTACTTAAAAAACTTAATTAGGTACATTGACTTCTTTTCTGATGGGTGAAGGACTTCAAACAATAGAAACAAGATTATCCCACGATACTGTCACAGTATGAAGTACGACTGATCAGCACGCGTGTTATATAACGTAGGGTATACGAAAAATATTATATATTAAGTTATATGGATTGTTGTGAGTTTATATGAATATCTGGAACTGTTAACAGGACAATTGTGAACAAATTATTTTTGATCCCACTTGGAGTACTTCGAAAAATTGGCAATTATTATGCTTTCCTGTGGGTGTCGTGTGTGTCGTGTGTGTGTTCCAACTCGCTTAATAATCATAGGAACTACTGGCAAAACCTCTTTATCCCATAAAGAGGAGGCTATATTCAGCAATAGACAATATTTAAATTCATCGTAGCATAAGTAGTTTATTCGTAGTAGGTACTTTTTTCTTATGAATAACTCACTATCTTTACTTGGTTAAAAAATTAAATATAAATATAAATTTATGGCAGCCTTTGGGGGTTGCCTTTGCTTAACAGTGGACAGATAATGGTGGAGACGATGATGATGAGGATTGCTCTTTTGAGGGCAAAGCAATAAACAGAGTTGTGACCATTTTGTATTGTTATGGCACACGCACAAAAGAAAAATTGTATTTAGCTTTATGTATTTTTTTAATCATTTATTTTATCTCGCTTTTTATGTATATCTATATATGTTGTAATTTGTGTGCTGTAAGTAATGCAAATAAATTATCTATCTATCTATCTTTTACGAATATTGACGTATTTTACGAGGACCTTTATATATATTGTATTCATAATACGAGTTCATACACTATAACTCATGAGAGCGAGTGACGTTTCTGGTATCATAACGGCAGCGGTGGCTGCTTATTAGTCAATCTCGAAATATCGACAGTAATAAAATAGAAAACAGTAAAATAAAAATTAATTACGTAAATTGTAACTACACAATGTCTGTAAATGTGACTCTAAATATGACAAATAATCTTTAGAAATTCTGTCTGTCTGTATGTTTGTTTGGGCTTCACGTCAAATTTATTGAATCAAATTGGATACGATTTTCACAGTTGTGTTCTTGAAGCTCTAACTTAAAATTTGTTGTATATTATATATTAATATGTCGCGCCATCTACAAGTGATCTATTTCATTAATTTTCTTCTCAAATGCACATCTAAGAAGTAGCGGGTAAAAATTTAGTATGAATATAAATTTATACCCTTGTCATACATATATATAGTATAACTCATGAGTCAGTAACACACGCGTGGGAGTGACATCTCTGGTATCACAACAGTAGTGGTGGTTGTTTTATTCGGCAATCTCGAAATATAAACAATTATAGAAAATAGTATTACGTAAGAAAAAATCGTCTTATATAATAATATTAATTATTATAATACCAAAGAGTATAAGTTTTAATATTAGAGAGTAAAAGTAAATCTGTTATATTAAGAATTGAAATTGTAACTAGTCTTTTAAATGATCTTAATCGGCAATTAAGGGCATGTTTTTGCATGGCTGTGTTTCGGTTTGAAGGGTGGGATATGGCAGTGAATTTAAAGAATACAGTGGTATAACACCTTAGTCTTCAGGAATAGCAATGCACGTGGGGTATTATGGGCGAAACAATATACTCTGTTATGTCCATGGTACTGCTCATGTCTATAGGCGACGGTTACCACTTTCCATCAGGTGGGTCGTCAGACAAAAAAAAAAAACAATAATAACAGTCGGACGATAAATGTTTTCTTAATGGGATGAAAATAACTTATAATAATAAGGAATTTTTCTGGTATTAACTAGGACGGTTTCCAGGGGGTTTACATGGAAGGTCGATTTGATAGTGTGTATTGCTAGCTATAGTTTTTTTTATACAACTTAGAATGGCAAACAAGCTGACGGTCCACCTGATGGAAAGTGGTAACCGTCGCCTATAGACATAAGCAGTACCATGGACATAACAGAGTATACTGTTTCGCCCATGATACCCCCCATGCGTTGCCAATCCTGAGGACTCAGGTGTTATTTCTCCGTACCCAGTAAATTTACGCCAAATGCCACCCTTCAAACCGAAACACAGCCATGCAAATAATAAATACAACTGCTTCACGGTTGAAACACGAATGGGACAGAGGTACCCAAGCAATCGACTTTTCTACAAAGTCTCCCTCTGGTGTGCAATTAGATAGATACCTATTATTACTAACAATCTCTTTTCCCTCCACAATAATTGCTTGTAATGTTATATAGTATTAAGCTTTTTAATTCGTATATGTTTACTGTTTTTACTCTACTAACCTTTTTAATTCGATATTTTTAGATCATTCTTCCAAATTTAAAGTTTTCTATATTCAAGGTTATTGAAGAATTATAATGACACCCACATGAAATAGGTATGTAAAGTAGTTCCTTACAGACTGTGATGAGATCATAATCATCCAATTTATGGTATTACAATATCTCTACATGGCTCCCATAAAATTAATGTCGCAATCTAATCTACATACCGAGGTATTGTGGCGTGCGAAACTTTTCTCAATTAGTCAGTGATGGCGCTAGTGATGTCAATCAACTCCTGCGCCATTTTTCACACGATATATTTAATGTATATACTCGTATAATATTTTTTTGTCGAGTTACATAAATTTGAATATATATTATGAATTGAATTTATGTAGGTACTTCTATAATTGTCTTTTAATTTCAATAACATCGAAGTTTATATTAATCATTGGATGACACATTATTTGATGTTTTGATATTACAATATTTATATGTAAAATTGAATTACACATTACAAAATATACAACAATTTGCAATATAATTTAAATACAAATGGGGTGAATAAAAGATAAATACATGCACCAGCAAAAAAATTAAAAGAAAGAGACGAGTGAAAGTATAAAAGGAAGAAGAGAATAAGAAAATGAACGAACAATTTCTTAAAAAATTAATTGAGAGGAGCATGTGATGTTAGAATTGACTTAGGTCATAAAAAATAAAATAGGTCAGGGTAATGCCAGATTTATCCCTGAATCTATAAAAGAACTATAAGAATATAAAAAAAATAAAGTTATTTTGTGATCATGATTAAAAATTGTGATAACATCAGACATATCAACCAAGTGTCAAAAATCTATTTAATAAATGTATGAGTAATTACAATTGAAGCTTATGTAAACCATGTTGTTGCCGAGATCTAGTAGGTATTCTATGAGTAGTAAAATTACAATATTCTAGTGCAGGAAATCGTTTATTGTGTATAAGTTTTATGAAAATGTCATATCCTTTATATTTTCATAAAAATACCGTAAATGAAAATGAAAAGAACATTATATAATTTGTTATGCAACATGTTTGACAATTAAGGAAATATGGTGTATAACTGTAATATAATTAATTGGTATATAATATAAAAGTGAATAACAAAAAAAAATTAAAATAGAATATTTTTGTGGAAACCCTTTGACTCGCATCACTAGTATGCACCTAAGGAAACTCAGTTTTCGGAAGCCAGCTCCGCCTACCAAGGTTGGCACTCGCTGGCAAATAAGGCCATTTATAAATGCCTGTGAACCCTCTATTGTGTTATTCTGGGAACAGTCATAAGGTGCAATAGACGTGTCAGCCCTTGTAGTGTTGTGAACATAATATGGGAAGGTATCAGTGTTGGTTAGTATTAGCCCTAGTGAGTGTAGTTTATGGGAAACAGAAGATTCCTGTATACGGTCCTGGATATGAAGGATATCCAGAATATTATGTAAGTACGAGATAGATATTAAGTAATGAACACTTAAAACAATGCTATGATAATAAGAAATATTCGGAACTTAGCAATCACAAACAATGACGATTTAAAAATGATTGTGAATAGACATAATGAAATGAAGTTTATTTATTTTTAAGAATTATATACTGTTGCTATGAATTTTATACTTGCATTATTTTATTTAAAGTAATGAATTGATACTGAATTGAAGACTTAATTGTTATGATGCCTAAGATACTTATACGCAAAAATACATAATGCTGAAACTTTTTATTGTTCGCATTCGTTTATGAAATGTATTTAACCCTCTGGTGTGTAATTTATACAAAACTCAAATGGTGATTTTATATCAATTGGAAAATATAGTTAAGGTATATCGGTTGCAGTTAATAATAATGTTATTATGAATATACTTTTTTAACTTGTGTATTTATCGAAATTAAAAAAATAATAATAAGTATGACAGAAATAATTATATATTAAAAAAAAAAGATTGATGGTAAACAATACTAGTAAAGTCATGTAGAAAACATTATTTTTTTTCCAACTTCTAGAATAAAATTTATAGGCGTATTATAAAATTGCATATTTTATTATTGAGTAAACTAATTTGTTTTATTGAACTTTTTGTAATCTTCATTATTATATTAGGCGTTAACTGTCCATTGCTGAACATAGGTCTCTCCCAAAAGGGGGGTTGCCACACACATACAGTAAATGCCACACTTAGTAAGCTGGTTGGCAACTGCGATAAGATTTTAAGTGATGTTATTAACGGATGCTGCTGTCCGTCCTTTGACCATTAAGCTCCCTTAGTTGTCTCTCACTCACGAAAAAGGACGGGGTGCTTTTTGTAATATCATTGATTAAACCTATTTTTTTAATTATAGCTTAAAATGAATAATGATTGAAACATTGTTCTTCCAGTTATTATTTAAATATTGATATACTTTTAATTACGTTACTTCAATACATGTTACTCTATATAAATATTTCAGGATCATCCCAAATATGCATTTAACTACGGTGTAGCAGACCACAACACAGGAGATGTCAAATCTCAGCATGAGACCAGAGATGGCGACGTAGTCAAAGGTAAGTTGTTTAAAATATAAATAAATTATAAAAATTTGAAAAAAATAATATAGGAGTAAACAAATAACAAAAAGTTTTCATTATAGAAAATGATCAAAATAGCTATATTCTACCTATTACACAAAAAAAATATAGATGAAATTAAAATAAAATCATTGAGGAATAAGAACGTTTAAAGTTACTCAAAATCTGATTTATATCAGGTTTATAATTCACATTGTAACGAAAAAAAATTACATAGACATGAACAATCAAAACATTAAGCGATAGAACTTTATAAATATGTTCCCTCTATATTTTTGGTCAGCTTTTACATGCATGCACACCGAATACAATATTAATAAAATATTATTAGTAAAATAAATTAATATATATATATATATATATATATATATATATATATATATATATATATATATATATATATAATAAAAAGAGCATTATTTTTCGCTAAAATGATTAATTATTAAAATAACATAAATAAATATAAAACATAATAGTATGTATATTTGATTAATAATAATTAATACCCATCAAAAGATTTACCTGATAATAATGAAACCAATAATTGCAACGAGATTGATAGAATGTGGTGTCATAGATTATAGATAATAGTACTGTTTGACCGAGGAGTTACTCAGATTGTCTTTGAAAAATAGAAGGTATTCGAATCATTGAAGGATAGTACCTACCTGCGGATACGAATAATCTTACCCGTGTGAAAATTAGGAGAATAGGTATTTCCATGGATAACTATTTGAATAGATCTCGTTATGAGTTATATCTTAATGTAAGTACATAGAACAATTGTCAAGATAATTAACAACTTCAAACATGTTTTTCTCAGATTTGAGAAAACAGAGATTATAGATATGTTCAGACGTATTTATATAATGAATATCATTGACCATTGTCAATACTGTGATAATTCTTAATCTGCTTTTATTACGGTTTTTATATTTTGCTATAGCAGGTATCTCAAAAACAGTATATAGTTTTTAATATCTAGTTACGCAACTTCCTACATGTGTTATTGTATGCACTATAGGCGATTAAATCTTAGTACCTATTCGTTAATAGCGTGCATTGTTGTTTGCTGCACTATGCCAAGATGCTGAGTTATGTCGTGCCGTTGAATAAGAAGCGTAAAAAACATAGCTTTTGTTATAACATACTATCTTAGGCAATACAGCGTAATGCATTCATTGTTATGTATTATTTTGAGAAGTTAGGTATTGTAAAAGAGATTTAATATAAATTACTAGAACCGACCTCAAAAGTGATAATTTTTGCAACATAGAATGTCCTTTTAGCTACATAGTTACACCTATTATACTGCGATATTCATATTATTCAATTTCTAATAATGCTTACTGCACGTTTGTTACTGTTAAAACTGTAGCATGTATATTTAAAGTAGGCACTAACTGTGCCTACATCGCGCGCATCGGATGCAACGAATTTTAATATTCTTTGTATAGGGGTTAGTATAGTATTATATTATCTGTGATAGGGGGTATCACCTTCAAACCGAAACACAGCCATGCAAACACAACTGCTTCAGGATTGAAACACAAATGAGATAGATGTACTCAAGCAAACGAATTTTGTACAAAGTCTCTCGCTAGTAAATATTATACCATACTAATTAATGAGTTTTATCTCATCTCTTGTACATCCTAAATATATGTTGTGTGTTAGATGATATGTTGTGTTCTTGTTGATGTCGTTACATAAAGTTAACTATTATTACTCTGTATCATTCTTTGGTGTCATAAGTTTCAAAGCCGCTAAAGTGCATTGATATATTTCATTTCATTCTAGGTCAATATTCTCTGGTAGAGCCAGACGGCTCAGTTCGGACAGTCGACTATACTGCAGATCCTGTGCATGGATTTAACGCAGTCGTGTCCAAGACAGGTCCCAGTATACACGCACCATCTATCCCAGCCCGTGCGCCCCCACAGATAAAGCCAGTGGTGCAGTACATAGCTAAACCCATTCCTGTTCCCGTCGAGGTGCCTAAAAGTCTATTCGTACCACGGATATACCCATCAGCATCTCCTTTTCGTAAGTTTCGTTTTATGAACTACTATAAGACAGTAATAACACCACTTTTGTTTCCAGTTCTTTTTATATTTACAACAATTTCAGAATTTTTTTGTGACCTTGATAGTCATAAAAAGTAAAAGAAAATCTCTTTATACTGAATTTATTGGATTTTCCAGAATGTTCCAGAGTAAATTATTCAGTTTAGTAAACCCTAGTTGGTAGTTATCAAATGGGGTTTACTAAACTGTATGTATAGACGATACATGCAGTTTTCTTTCTAAATATCAACGAAATAACTAAATAAAGAGTTCAGTTATAAGATTTTAATGACAAGTCTGTTATTGAATCTTTGGATGAGACATTTAATATGGTAGATATTTCATAGTAGTAAATCTATTAGTTCCATCATTTTTAATAAAGATTAAATAAAAATGTATGCTGTTTTAGATGAACTTATTACTCGAAGGGACAGAAGTACCCAAGCAAATGAGTTCTGTACAAAATCTTTTGATGGTATACAAAATCTTTGTAATATTTATTAGTGTTTAGTTAATTCATTGTACTGTAACTGTAATATGGCATAATAATATTATCGACGTTTTTATTAATTATTTTAGTTACCATTGCTGTTTGTTTTCAGTGTTCCCTAAGGCCGTGCCTCAGTTTCCGGACTACGATGGATTTGATGTAGATGGCCCTTTTTCAATACCACCTGGCAGTTTTTATTAGTTTCTTTTTTTATAAATAGGTAATATTTATTGCATTAATTATAGATTCTAATATTATTCGATTCAGCTTTATTAATATACTTCATACAACAAAAACAAAAAGTGCCAATATTATAAAATTATATGCGTACTTAGATTTTTTGTGTTTAATTTTGTGTATGTCTTATATTTTTTCTTTATTGTTGAATGAATATAATTTACTGAAATAATAGACATATTATTATTAATGGAAAACAGGTGAAAACATATTTATTTCTTTATTTTTATTTCTAATTACTTTAAATTATTTTATTTTATTATGACATAAATTATTTTTTAAATCGTTCATTTATCAATGTATTTTTGTATTTTAATAATGTATTGAATTTATATGCCAATTGATGTGTGCGAATATGGTAAGTTACAGTTAGTTTTATATACCTAAATATAAAGCTAATATTTTCTTCACAAACAAAAACACAAGTGTGTGTTTTTGTTTGTGAAAACAAAAATACTTCAATTACTTCAATCATATAAAAATTGGTATAAGATATACATACAATCGTGTGGAGTAATTTTTCGATGGAAAAATAATCATCAAAGCCGGTGGAGAACTGGTGACGATATCGCATATCATATTTATAGAAAAAAATAGTCGATTCGAAATTTTCAATTTATTCTTTTTAAATTTTGATAATAAAAGGTAAAAACAATATACTTGCTTATTTATTCAACATGTACCTGATGTCATCCTCTTTTATCATCTTTTTTTTCTTTTTCGCCATGATAAACTAATAATGTAAGTGAGGCTTATTATTTCATTTTCACTTATAAAAAATCATACAGTAGGTTAGCAACCTCCGTGGTACAATGGTGGACATGTCAATTTGTGTAAAGAACATAAGGTTTAGGCATCAATTCTTAACCAGGCCAATTTAAGAAACAAATTTTTTATACTGACTCAGGTCTGAATCAGGTCAAGGTTCTGGGTCGTGCCTCGAGGTATACCTAGCTGGTGGACCAATCAATTGGTAAGATTGAAAAGTTGCATCCTTATATAAAAAAAAAAAATTGTTAATAAGAAATTACTATAAATAGAATCATAAATGTTATATACCAATAAATGCTTACGAATTTCATCAGGCACAATACATAATTAATAAATTCGTGCCAAGTTTTCATACATAGACAATGTTTAATCTAAAGTTTGCTATGACTTGCTTAATTGTATGTTAATAAAATTAATTTACAATTAGACGATGTTTTCTTAATCAGGTTTTACCTGATTCATATACAAAGATTGAGCTTTAAATAGATGAAAAGTGTATTATTATGTATTTTCATTCAAATGCATCTAGATTTTTTTGAAAAATCTATACCTACAACATAATAAATTGTATCTATTTAAAATTGTCCTCTTTTTCATCCTTTCCTAAATTTAACGGTAATATTTCTCTAATATTTTTAGGTAATTTCATATAAATACTAAATAAATGTTCGTTTATAAAAAGAAACAGAACAAGCTGATCATTGACTTGATAAAAAGTGGTAAACTAGAGATATGAATATTTCCGCGGATATTTATCATACGTTGTTATTCCTAGTACAATGATGTAGTCTGTAGTTTTCGTAATCAGCCATTTACTACTATATCCTACCCTTCGAACCGAAAACAACTGATTTACGGTAGAAATGTCCGTAGGACAGAGAAGCAGATGACTATAATACAAAGTCTTCAATTAGTATACATTAAAATGTAAATAAAATAAAATAAAGGAAGGTTTTTAGTTACGGGAATCTCCCTGGAGACTAACGTGGTTAATTTCTGAAGAATTCCTTGACTTGACTTGAGTCATGACTTGACTTCCTGAGTTACTTGAGTTTCTTGAGTGTAAACCAATAGTCTAAGTGAGGTAACTATTCCATTTTTATCCATATTTTTTGTATCCACAGGGGGAACTCTACTCTTTACAGCCGGGGCATTATAACACTGTAGTGTACACTCAATGCACTAACAGTTTTTAAGTGTCTAATTTGGTGTATGGCGATTTATTGCTATTCTAAAAGGATAGGCGCAAATATAATCTGCAGATATGTAATATTGCTATGGCGATTTGTAATAAATAGTAGTTTGTAATAACTCCATTTATTTTTTATATACGAGGTTTGTCCGGAAAGTACGTATAAAAGTTTTTTAAAAATTTTATTTTACAATTATTCAGGTAAATCAATTTTATCCCCTTCAAAGTACTCCCCCTGTGACATAATGCACTTGTGCCAACGCCGTTTCCACTGTGAGAAGGCTCCTTGAAAGTCCTCTGGTTGTAGGTTTCTCAGCTGCCCCGTCGTAGCTTTTTTTATCTCATTTATGTCCCCCAAATGCCGCCCCCGAAGTACCAATTTGGTTTTTGGGAACAAGAAGAAGTCACACGGGGCCAAATCCGGCGAATAGGGGGGGTGTTCGGTCACCGTAATGGAATTTTTACTCAAAAACTCACGGACAACAAGAGAGGTGTGGGCAGGGGCATTGTCGTGGTGAAGAATCCAACGCCCCTCTCGCGCCAATTCTGAACGAACTCGTGCCACACGAGCTTTGAGGCGTCTGAGCACATCGACGTAGAATTTTCCATCAACTGTCTGGCCTGGAGGGACGAATTCTTGATGGACAATCCCCCGAACATCGAAAAAAACAATCAACATTGTCTTGACATTTGAGCGGGATTTTCTTGATTTTTTTGTTCGTGGTTCCCCGGATGTCTTCCACTCTTTGCTTTGGGATTTTAATTCGACATCAAATTCGTAGAACCAAGACTCATCTCCAGTGATGACTCGGTTCAAAAAGTCACCATTCTCTTCGGCTTCCAACCAGTCCTCACAGCAAGCAACTCTTCGTGATTTTTGATCCGACGGGGTTTCGTTAAGAGGTAACTTCACAGATGGCGTGACAAGCCAGTTCGCACCGCACGGCGGTCAGACCAGAACTGAAGCATTGTTAGGGACATAAGGAAGGGGTCCTGCGCTTACCTGGCCTCCCCACTCCTCTTTCTCGCATTCCAGAACACTTTTATACGAACTTTCCGGACAGACCTCGTATAACTATAATTATAAAGGGAATATAAATTCAATTAAATAATTGATACCTTTTGACATTAACGATTCAATCATCTCGTTTTGAAAGGTGGTATTTATGTAGAAGTGAGGAACTTTTTTTTATAGACGAAAATTGAATTGTAGCCACCATCATTTTTATTAGTTCGGCAAACTGTCAATTGTGTTGAATTCATCAAGAATTTAAGAAGAATTAACGACGACAGTTTCCAGATTGAATGGCATGAAGGTCAACCAGGCAGGATAGACCAGCAAGCAATGAGACCTCAAAATCTCATTATTAACATATCATCATCATTTCAGCCATTATCTGTCTATTGATGAGCATAAGCCTCTCTCATATACTACCATAAGGAACGATCCTGAGCCACCTGCATCCACTGTATCAATTTATATTATTGACCTATAGTTCGTTGAAAACTTAAACTTGTTAAATTTTTAAAAGATTTAATTATAAAAGTTTATTCAATTGTCAAGAATAAATATTATAGATAGTATTTTTCAGTGAATTTTCATAATTAGGAAGAAGTTTTACTTCTTGTTCCTTCCACGGTAAAAAGAGAGAACTTCGTGACTTTAGCACTTAAAACGACACTTTATATAATATAGCTTAAAAATAATAATACTGAGAAGTCACAACATAGTTAATAATAAAAGCATGAATGCATCTCATCAAGACGACATTGAAGTGCAAATATGACAAGGTGGTAAAGTTATTAATAAATTTCAGAATGCTATAAAATATTTTTTTATGTATAAATTCATAACAACATTTATGAAACTGGAGCAAGGTCAAAAGGTTTGCTTACGATGATACGTACTCGTATACACATTCGAATTACTATATAATGAATACACTGTTACTTTATTATTAATTCAACTTAATAAATTGAGTGTAAACATAACCATTGGGTAATAAACCACCCAGAAATTGTCTATGTAATGCAATGCTAAGAATTCTGCTCAAGAACAAATCGTGACCGACTGTATTAAATCCGGAACGTGTTACAAACGCATCTTCAATTTTTATTATTATTATCGTACACTTCATACCAATTTACTTTAAACACCAGCAAAATAGATTTTATCGCCCATTTATTCATATATGCATTTAATTTGCAGTTTTCTTACGAAATCAAAAAAATATATATTATGGATGGAAATGGAGAGATGCATCAGTTTGATCTATTATCAAGTAATGTAGGATCTCTTATTTAAATAACAAGTAATTTAGTACGATGAAATAAGCAATTGAATAATGGATTTTAAATAATAGAAAAAGTTTATTTAAGTTGTCAGCTAACATAACAAAGTTAATGTGTATGCATTCACTGTTAGAAATATATGGTCATCCATGGTTAATAAAATACATATTTAAAGTTGCAAAATAGCGAAGCAAACAAGCAATTCATTTAATATGGAATTTATTTAAATCATTTGCGCCTTTGTTATGCTTATTGTGTTAAACGACCGAAATATTTTTACTTACTGTGTTTAGATAATGAAATATGGAGGAATAAGTACCAAAAAATTTACATATTTTGTGCTGAAGTATTTATTGCCATTTAGTAGGAGTACATAATAATATTACGTTATCAAATAATTAAAACTTTAATTTCGCTTTAAAAAATAAATGTGGGAATGTCAATAAATTTGCAATGCAGTGTATTTTTGCATTAAGTATGTAGAGGTCGTGACCTATTCACTAGAACCATCGTCATACCAATGCAAAAGCAAAAAAATATTAGATAAGAATCAAATACATGACGATGATCATAGAATGCAGTGTACTATGCAATAAGTATATAGTAATCGAAATAAGTGTTCGTGATTTAAATAGCATTACATCTAATAATATACTAATTTAGATTATGTTTATGCATAGTCCTATTTATGGGAGAAGTGACAACAGGGGGTTGGTAAGGATGTGGCGTGTACACTTTTGAAAAATTAGATCTATGCGCCTTTTTTAAGGGGACAATTTTCCCCTTGGAAAAAAAATCTTAAACACGCGAATGTTGTAAAATGTATGTACGAGTATATATATTCTTATTACAGGCCGCAAGAAACTCAACAGAGCAACTGTTGAGTTTCTTGCGGCGTCTTTGCAACGGATAACAACTTTCCGAATCCTGCAGTAAATAAAAAAAAAAAATGACTATATAAAATTGTTTGTAAAAAATCTATTTCAATAAAGACGATTTGAATTTGAATTTTATAGTTTATGTTCATTTTACACAGTCATACACCAACATACTCATATATTAAATATCCATAGACATACAAATTGACAACATAAGTACATTAGTTTATATGAAAATTATGTATATTAATACTAAACTATTTGCTACAATGTTACAAAATTTGCTCGCAATATACTAATATTGCGAGCAAATCTAAATGTTAATTCTCTAAATTTCTGACATAAATTATGTGTAGGGTCTCTGAATGGAAATTTAGCGAGAGTCAGTTGGTTCTATTGAACTTAATTTAGAGTCAAAACTGACAAGCTAAGTATATACATTTCTATCTATTTAAATCTACATCTGTGATCTTAAATACTTGTATATACAAGATGAAATTATAATTAATAACAATATATTTTCTTTAAAACATATGTCTAAAAAACGCCAGAAAAATTTAGAGATTCCTGTACGAGACTTTGCTTTCTTCTATTTTATTGTTTGTGTTACGGATCGTGTTCAGAATTATTCCAAATAATACCTATTTTTGATTGCACTGCTCGACATTGACAGGGAATTCATCTTTATATGTTAGAACCAAAGTGGTTGCGTACAGTGTGGTTTCAGAGGAGTTTCCTTCCGCGAACGCTCAGGCTTTGTAATTAGTTCCCTGCTGAGGTTTTCTCTAGAGACTACAGTGTGTTAAAGTTTCTTCATGGTCAGCAACGCGCATGAAATATCCGTGCTACACACGTGATAGATTACAGTGATTGTATGCTTGTTCGCGACCCTCGTGGTATTAAAAAAACATACTTGATAGGTGGTTACGCTGTATTAGCATGAAATGTCTCCCACTTTTCCAACTCATGGTGTTTTAGGGAAAATGTTCAATTTCAATAGCA